AAGAGGACGGAAAACAAAACACAGAACGCATAAACAAAATTTCAGAAAATAGGGTCCCCGCTCGAGCTTGGACTTCCCCGCTCGAGCGGACCCTTAAGACCTACAAAAGTACTGGATAGGTGAAATTTACGCTCGAGCGTTTATTCTGGCACTCGAGCAGAAGGCCTCTACATGGCTTCCCGCTCGAGCGTTAAATTCCACGCTCGAGCAGACATCATGGTCTGCAGAAAATACTAGGAGCACGAAATTCACGCCCGAGCGGCGGTTTCCCCACTCGAGCGGACATCAAATTTCTGGATTTTTCAGATTGTGTTCTTGAGCTCCAATTCGATTTTCTACCCAACCTTTCTTCCATATATCTTTAGGCTTCATTCTTATCTCTTTAATTCAATTACAATGCTCAAAGTATGCCTAAGAGTGATTAGAAGTGAAAGAGGACGGAAAACAAAACACAGAACGCATAAACAAAATTTCAGAAAATAGGGTCCCCGCTCGAGCTTGGACTTCCCCGCTCGAGCGGACCCTTAAGACCTGCAAAAGTACTGGATAGGTGAAATTTACGCTCGAGCGTTTATTCTGGCGCTCGAGCAGAAGGCCTCTACATGGCTTCCCGCTCAAGCGTTAACTTCCACGCTCGAGCAGACATCATGGTCTGCAGAAAATACTAGGAGCACGAAATTCACACCCGAGCGGCGGTTTCCCCACTCGAGCGGACATCAAATTTCTGGATTTTTCAGATTGTGTTCTTGAGCTTCAATTCGATTTTCTACCCAACCTTTCTTGCATATAACAGCTCAAACTCCAAATATACTTGTGTTAGCATGCTATAAACACCAAATTACAACATTTAGAAGCTTAATTTCATAAATCAAACACATGCATGGCTCATTTTCCACCAAATTCTTTATCAACATAATAATTTCATGCATTTAACACTTATACCTCTTGGAATGGCACATGCATGTGGCTTATTACTCTCATTCTCAACTTAGATGATACAAATGGTGATCATAACATGAGTTTTAACCAAAACTCTACATGAATCATGTATTTCAAGCTCAAACAGGCAAATTTAAAACAATTTCTTATATGCATGCATATATAGTCTTCCAATTCAACAAAACCAACTCAAAACATGCTCTTGACCATTAATTAACTTTGAACACACAAGATTACACATTAAACTCATGAATTCAAGAATCAATGCTTACCTAGAGGTTCAATTCCTCCAATCTATGGTCAATTCTAGAGTTGGCCTCCAAAATCAAGCTTCAACAATCAAACTCTCAATTTCTTTCACTCTCTCTCTCTTAGCCGACCCTCTCTCCTTCTTTGAGTCCAAAAATCTGCCAAAATGCACTAAAGGAAGGAATTTGAGGGTGTAATGCCCTTACAACATAACCCACTAATGCCAATATAATAATAATAAAGTAATTGGGCTCTAATTCATCAATTTAATCGATTTAATCTGGTTCAGATCAATTTTTTAATTAAACTTCACCGTAGGCTCTAAAAATTATACCAATCACAATGGCATAATCAATTCTGGGTTCTGTGACCGATAAGGCCTTCAATTTAATTTCCAAAGCAGATAATCAAACAGATATTCCTACGGTGAACAGATAGAAATTCAAAATTACATATTTTCACATAATAGCACACAAAATCGTACTAAACACATAATCATACTCATATTAAAGACCAATTAGCATACTACAGAACAGGGATATCACATTAGTATTCAGTTAAACACCTCATAATACCTTTTGACATAAGCCCTGAGGCTTTCATCCTCGCCAATTCTCAAAGCCATTAGGGAGTCTACCATCAACGGTTGCAGTTTGTTTGTAACAAACCTGGCCACAAACATCTCAGCCAGGCCTTCCTAACTTTTTACGATTCTTTTCGGCAACTTGTGAAACCAATCTGATGCGATTTTCCCAAAGGATGAGGGGAAAACCTTGTAGAGCAATGGTTCGTTCCCGGTATACAATGCCATTGAGTTTAAATATAAGCCGACGTAAAAGTTAAGATTGGACTTGCTATCGTATATCTGGAATCTCAGTATGTGGAACCTTTTCGAGGCCTCAAACTTATCCAATTCTATTGAGAATGACGTTCTCGACTTGACCAGAGATGTGACATCGGCATCTTGTCGCTTCCTCTAGAGGTAGTCCTCAAATCCTCCTTAGTCCGTCCAGGTGCTCAATTGTCAACGGATTTTAGCCTTTTTGGTGCGCTGCTCCCGGTGTCGTTATGAGTCCTCTTGGACCTCCCTTCATTCATCGTGTCAAAACAAAGCTCCTTCCCTTGAACATGTCGATGTTTCTTGACATAAGCTTCCTTGGCACGAGGTGTTTTTTGAGACTCTTCTGTTATCGATTCTCCTCGCCCAACCTCCCGTGAAAGCCGATGCGAATGCTCCTTTGCCCTGTCATGCTGAGGGACTGCAGAGATTGCTTTCTGCCCCCCTTTCTGGGCATCGTTCTTGGCCGCTAGAATCGATGTGTCCTCAAATAGAAACAGTGGTTGCATGACGTTGTTCTGCATCATAAAGTTGACAACCGATTGTAGGTCTGTCAATTTGTTTGTCATTCCCTTTATCTTGTCGTCCCTCCTCAGGAATCTATCTTTCATACTTGGAGGTCGCTTTCATTGTAATACTCGCATTGGCCTACCTTCTTTGGTACGTCTCCCTCTTGGCCGACGTCCTTTTTCCTGAGATTCTGCTCCCGGGGTTCTTCATTACGATTCTCTTCCTCTACATTAGGATTGGTGTGTTTGCCACTCCCACTAGGGATATCGTCCCCGACCTTTTCTTCCTGCTCGTCGTTGGCCATCTATTCTCTTTACGTTTCCACAGACAGCGCCAAATTGTGGGTGTTAATTTTTGACCACACAATCAAACAAGGAAACTCAGCAGGAGAGCACCGGCAGAATAGATAAAGCCCGAACAACCTGGAACAGAAAGATAAGAATCCGACAGTGATTCGTCCACCCGGGGGCACTCCGACGATCAAGTCAGTAATCACTACCTCTCAAAGATAACAAATAGTGTTTAACTCACTAAACAGAGCATAAAAAACATACCTTAAACCCACGAGGGTGCCTTATTTTTATAGCCAGCACTAACCTGATCCTCGTAGAAGCCTAGCTCCAATGGACTTTGTCTCAATACTCATCTTGGACTCCTAGCTAGATAGAGATAAACTCCCTAAGAGTTTTATCTTCCAAACTGAGGTCCTCTCCCATTCTAGGACTCTTTTCCTTTATCCACTCATCTCGGATTCCGATATCTCCGAAGATAACCTCAACCTAGCCGAGATTATCTCGCACATGACCATGCCACGTGGCATCTCGGCTGACATGTCGGCGTCACCTTAACCACATGCTGTCATTCACGAAATATGCTCCCACAACTTAGATCTTGGATTTGCTAAGTGGAATAAAAAAAGAGAAAATATAAAAAAAGAAAATAAAGTGTAATAAATTGTTTTTCTCTTTTTTAGCTGAGTTAGAAAAATGAGAAGAAAATAAATTTATATCTGTCAAAAACAGATGGGGAACTTACCAATAAGTCACATACACAAAATTCCAAACCCATCTAATCCCAAAACAAAACACTTGTACCAATTAGTCCTATATATTTTTAATTGTTACCAAAAAATCCTTCTTTTTTTTAAATTTATAGACACTGTTACATCCTACTACCGTTCCGTTAGACGGTCACCGAAGACTCGCCGAAATGTTCAACATCACCGTAAAGTTGTTGGAGTATTGCCGGAAGTTCACCGGAGTGTTATGAACGTCAATGAAAGTCGTCGGAATGTCCAGAACGTTCTTTGGATGTTAAGAACATCATTAGAGACTCATCGGAATATCCAAAATATTGCCGGGAAAAAAAAAGAATAAATGGAGAAATTAAAGCAAAAAAACATAACAAAATGTGCTAAATATTGATAAACTAAAAGAAATATATATATATATATATATAACGACAAAAAACAGAAACAATGGGGGGAAAAAAAACATATGTTATTTTTCAATTTTTTTTAGGGTTTAAGCAAATAATCTTTAATATTGATCAAATTGAAAAACAAGTTTTGAAATTGTAAAATGTTATACTTTCAAAGCAAAAATCTATTAAATATTTATCCTTATTAATCAAACTGAAAAACATGTTATGAAACTACAAAATTTTACAGTTTTAAACCATGATTCATTACAGTACCAAAAAAAATTAAAACTACAAAATTTTACATTTTTTACAGCCTGTAACTAAAACTCAAAAACAACTTGTTCAGATGAAAATTTTCTCCATTAAAACAGAAAAAAGAAGTGTATAGCAGAGAAAATGTAAAAAAATTAAGAGATCGAAGGAGAGAGGCAGATATAGAGAGGATTGTACTCCAGCAACTATTTTTTGTTTAGATCCAACTGGATCTGATATAGATCTACTCAGATCTGATGTAGATCTACATCAAATCTAAGTGGATTTACTCATCTTCTTTGTCAGAAACATATCTTTTTCACCGTTGATGAGGGTGAAGTAGGAAGTCGGCGGTCGGTGGTTGCCAGTATAATCCTAATCGATGGTAATCGTCAATTGTTGGTGACTATATATCAGAAAGAGAAAAAGAAAAAGCAAGATGTGGTTGCCGATCAACGATCACCGAAAAATCACAAAGAGCAAAAGAGACAGAGAAGAAGAAAGGCAAAGAAGAAGAAAAATGTTATAAGACTTTTGAATATAAACAAAAGGTTATCGGACTAAATATGTTACACATTTTTCAAAGAAGATTTCTTGATAATTTGCTCAAAAAAGAAATAAGCATAATAATTTTATTTTCTTACAAAATATTGTGACCTTTTAATTCAAAATAAAACATGATTTTCAAATATAAAATTACTCTTGCCACATCATTTTGTGAGAATTTTCTAGGTAACTATACAGTATGACTAGAATTTTCCTTCAGCATAATATACATTCAAGAGCATGATTTCGTACTTTTAAAACAATCATTTAGACATTAACCAAACAAGCTGTTCTATGAGCCAACTCTTCTCATATTAGGCTCTACATTTGATAAAAGTACATCTGAATTTGTCCACATATCTACTCACTTCTTTATGACACCACAACCTCAACTCACAGGGTCACACTAATAGAATACAACACGAGCCATTTGGCATCCAAAAATAAAATTTAAAACCAAAAACAAAAAAAAAGTCGAATAAAAAGAACAAGGAAATCTCATTCTGTAGCCAAGTTTCCGTACTGCCATGGATTGAAATCCATTGACCCGATGTCAGTCTCCTCAATGTTGGATGAGCTATCCATAGCAGCCCGATGTTCATCATATTTTCCATTGTAGCGATAAACTTCCAATTCACCCCAAGGTGTAGGAGCAATTTCACTAGATGGGTCAAACCATCTTGGAGTAAATTGCTCGCCCTTCGTCTCTCTAGTTCTCTTTTCAGCCCTCTGTTTCTCCTCCAAACTGAACAATAGACACAATCAAAACAGTTATATTGTCATTACTTGCCTGCCCAAACTTCACACAAAGCAAGGACTTATAAGTTGAGAGAGAGAGATACCGGCTCTTTTCTGAACCTGCTTTGGGCAAATCACCCTTCTCAAGTGCATATCTATCTGGACGCAAGCGAGAATCTGAAGCCAGTAACTTCTTAGGTGCAGTGTCCAAGCTATTTATCTTGTGTGCAAAATATGTATACTGAAATTTGTCATTTGTAGGAGCTTTAGCAACTCTCCAGACCTGCACAGTGACAGCATCAGAATAATTATAAGTGGGTTTAGTTGATAAATACATATTTATCAGCAATTTGAACAACTGCCTAGGGAAAAAATAATAATCTACTCCTTAAGTCCCAAAATATTAGTCCTTGATGGGGAATCCAATTTTTTTTGGTAGTGTACAATTATTACACTTCAAAAATACTGACTTTGACTTTTTTTGGAAATATTAATTGTCATAATTATACTTTTTGCGTATGAATTTAAAAGAATGGCAAGATAGGAAATTCATGTCATTTTAGTCTTTGATTTTTGAAAATGGACTAATATTTTAAGATAATGAAAAATGAAATAAGGGATTAATATTTTGAGAAGGAGAGAGTATCAAAGATATTTCAGGGTCTTCTAATGTAACAGTATTGCAAACATAACAACAATGATTGAACTCAACAATCTATGTTTTCCTGCAAAATGCAGGGGCACTATGACCCATTATCCATACTTTCATCTAAAACATTGACTGGCTGAGCACAGACAACAAAACTAAAAAGTTCTCAATATCAACAAGACAGAAAAGAAAATATCACTACCAAAAGAACATGGAAAAAGTTCTTAATTACATCATTACTCTACAAAAAGTTATTTGTTTCCCCTGTTTCAAAATGAAAAAAGTACACGTTTGCACAGGTCCAACTACCTCATATCTAGGCACTGAAAAGTCAAAGATTTCAATGACTTTCATAACAACATTGATACACTAGCAAGAAAAGGGTCAAGATAAAGGGTGGTTAAGGAAGCCAACCTCTGTCAATTCAGTGCCTGGCAGGGGTTCTCCTTCCGCATCACAAGGCTGATAACTCATTGAATCGTTCCATTTCCCAGTCATCAATATTTTGGGTTCTTCAGCAGCATTATATATGTATCCATCCACTTCATAGCGACCAGCACTGCAAACAAACACAGAAGTGCACAAAGACATGAAAACGAAAAGATTCAAGCTTCAGATAATATTCCAAAAGGGAAAGGAAATTTGTTAATTGAATAGAGGCTTCTTCCTAGGCCATAATTAATTAATTACTAATCTGATGATACTTAACGAAAACTTGAATGATGTGTTTTGAAACCGAGGCCGAGATAAAAAACCATTCGATACTAACTGTTGCCGAGTGGAAAGAGGATTTTAAGAAAACAACTCCTAGGTGAACTGAAAGTCCCTCCAAGAAGACAACTTTTTTATAGCATCACATTCTAGGACCCATAATCAGCAGCAGTCAAAAACCTTCTTACTCCGTGTCTTATTTACCCACATAAAGCATACCGCACTAAAAAAATGATATATAAGCAAAAAAATAGAAGTCAATGGGAAATTTCTACCCACATTGTAGAAGTAAACTTATTGTAATATAAAAACAAAAGGACAAAACACGCCAGTCTAGATTGGTCATTGGTCTAGATAAGAAGCTCATGCAATATCTTATGGCTACCTAAGAAGCATGGACATAACATTGACATGTCAACACGACAAATTTAAAAAATGAAGGACACGATATATGGAGAACACACAAAATATATAGTTTTATATATTCATTAGGTCATATATATGGTATTTCATCTAAAGATTATAAAAATGTAACATAACACCAATTCCTAAAATCTTAATAGGTATAAATCTATATTGTTTTTTCATCATTGGATCCCAAATTATTTTCTTCAAACTTGTAATGTGATGTGTGTGTAAATGATAGATATGTGTGTCCTCAAGTGTCCGAAGCATGTCTAGAACTAAAAGAATTAGAGAAATAATAGGAGATGTTTGGACGTGTGTCCAACATGTGTTGGGAAGTATCCAATGAGTGTTACTGTCCAACACCTATTTAACACGGACACAACACCTTAGAAGTGTCGGTGTTTGTCAAATGACTGACCACCTATCAAGTGTCAAAGTAGGTGCAATGGGTAGTTTAAACTAGTGCAACAAACACACACAAGGAAAATGGGTGAATGAAGACTAAATAAATAAATAAGACATTCTCTTTTATATTTGCAAGCTCACATAAATAAACAAAATGCCCTGCACGTAGTTGTGCTCATCAAAAGCAGCAAAAATGTACTTATAAAAATAAAAAATAAGAGCAGCAAATATGTATTTGGTCTATAAGTAATAAACCAAGAGTTCCAACAAAATTACTAGAATGATTGCTAAACATCATACCCGAACCAGCCGCAAGGTTGAAAATACAGCACAACTTTGTCCCCCGTGGTCATGTTCGTCAAGATCATCTCACCTGGTGAATCAACCCAAGTTCGTCCAAATATCAGGTTGTTAACTTTTGTGGGAGGAGGCACCAAATCTAGGACCACACCATCTTTTTTCAGGGTCACTCGTGTCCTGCATATGGATTTATATAGGAGTGAGTGAGCTGCAATTACATTGTTCGCAAAAAGATTTTGAAAGACAATCTTGACAAATAATTGCCATATGATTTCAGGTAGATCCCAGGTGAAAGTTGGAACAAGCTTTTTCACTTCTCTCTCTCTCTCTCGTATTTTTAATCCTACCAAACTTAAAGTTCAGCTCATAGTACTGATGAAGTTCACAGAGATATGATCCTTGGATCTATGAAACTATAAGGTTTTCCGATACCATAAGTGCTACAAAAAAACAACTATAAAGTCTAAGAAAAAAGACTTGTTAAATTTCTACCTTCTCTCACTGTATTAGCAACATTACATAGAGCAAAGTCCAAAACCTAATAACACTGAATCCCAGAACAAGAATTACCTTCCAAGGGGATAGACATCAAGCGAGTTTCCTAGAAATTTGGTCTTCACCTTGGAAGTTATATCATAAACAAAATGGTCATTTTCAGCATGTCCAGCACTCATTGGAGGATGATGGCTAACCTGGAAATAAAATTTTTTGAGAAGAATTGCAATTATTATGCACAGTAGTGCAAGGCAGAACATAAGAATAAAGATGAAAGAAAACAGAGTGTGATAAAAATGTTAATTGTAATAATAGTTAGCAAGAAATTTCTGCTAGTCTATAATGCAGGCGGAACAGAATAATTCTTTCTTTGTTCATGACCAAAACTAGCAACCAAACATAGAAAGAAAGAAAAATTATATCCTTAAGAAAATGTCGTCAAGCTCACCTGTTCTGCAATAAATGTGACACCACCATGATTGGCCATCTCATAAGTTTCACCAAGAACTGGATTAAATGGCTTCCAGGTTCGTTGTAAGGCATAATATGTGGATATAAAGAAGGATGCTGCAATGGAGAACAGTGAGTTCGACAACAGAAAATGTGCACAGAGAGAGAGAGAGAGAGAGCGCTAAAGAATTCTTACAAGCATACACTAATCGCATATAAGGATCCTCACATTCATCTGCTAAATCTAAAAGGTGGGAGTATTCCATCAACTGTAACAAACATTTTATATCAGTGAAATTCAACAAGCATAGCAACATCATCAAACATTACACAGACATCAACGTCATACAAAAAACACAAACCTCTGCCATTTTCTGAAGCATTGACATTGGCTCAAAAATGAGTACTGGAAGTGTCACCATCGATGTGACATCAGAGCCTATATATTTCTGCATCATCTTCCAATGACTGTCCCGATCCTGTGAGTCACAAGAAATTCAATCAGAACACGGACAAAAAAACAAAAATTTGTAGGACGGATTGAAGTTTGCGTAGTTAGTGTCTTTATTCCAACAATGTTAAGGCAAACTTTTGTAGTTTGCCTTTTGAGTGAAAATAAAATAAGAATATATGTCAAAAATGAAAGAAAAAAATAAAAAAGATCTACTTTATTTTTTGTAGAGAGATTTACTAACCATTACATATGGACAATAATAATACTTGTCTACAGGAAATGCTAAAACCTAAAAATACCAGTTCTCGTCAACAAATAAATTTGTGTCATGCACCACATTTGAGGATCTTAACCCATAAAGACATATACAAAAATCCATGACATTGACTGAATAATACATACAATGACGCTTCATGGCCTTGTTGAATTTTCTCAACCTATATAAGAGTACTGTACTATACAAAAATCCATGACATTGAATAATGAAGCAGAAAATTCTAGAAAAAACGAAGCAAAACTTGAATCAGAAAAATGAAATGACAAAAAGAAAGGAAAAAAAAAATAAAATAAAGATATTGCACCTCTTGTTTCCATCTTCCTTTTCGTGCTTCCTCTTCAGCATCTTCAGTCCCCCCTTCGGGATTTATAACTTCCAGGCCTTCATAACCCAGCAAACTGGACAAGAAAAACACCACAAATTAATGAGAACCAACCAGATTCTTCAGCAGAATCAGCATATGAAGCTAATATGATCAATAAATATCATGAGCATTGTACATCATTGACAAACCATGACAACTGGACTTCAGCCTTAATCAGCGGAAGAAAAGATTACTCAGCTCTCTCATCAGTCAAATGGGACACTTTATGGATTGTATTTGGTTGTACATGTGTATATATCTGTGTATACACGAAGCCACATTGTGGCCTAGGGGACCATGGCTACTGTCAGGTTTTCAACAAATCCCTATATTAAGGGAAGGTTTAAATATGTGTAATGAACATTATCCACCTTTAAAACTTTTATAGAAGATTAAGTTTTGGTAAATTCACATTGCCCAACCAAAAATAAAAAGCACAAAGTGTATACGATGCTTGAATTGTATAGAAAAATCTTATTGAAGACCATCTGTTACTCAAAACAACGCAAAACATATGTCTTCTAGAAACCGTCATCTCTCTGTGTGTTTATGGCTAAACATATTTTTGTGATCACTGTTGGTCACTCCATACTAGATCAGTTCAATCCTTGTAGTTTTTCTTCCTAAATTCACCGCATAATACGATAAAATTTTAGTTTTTTTCCCCATGTATGGTTCAAATTTAAGGTTTGTCGACTTCAATATCATGCAAGTCAATGTTGGAGATGATGGCAACATGGGAAATGGGAGCTCATGCCAGATCATTTGTTTTCTCTGCAGCTCCTCTCATTCATATAAGATGTAATGCCTACTCTCATTCATATAAGAAGTAATGCCTAGAATTTACATAGGTGTTTGGGGTTTTTTTATTTTTTTTCTTCTTATTTTTGTTTCCGTCTTCACTGATTTAAAAATAATAATAATTAAAAAAGCTTTAGATTTAGCTCAACGGGAGGAACCAGAAAATTAAAAAAAATAAACAAATAAATATAAATTCTAAAAAAAGTGCAGAAACTTGGCTTATTTTGATTTTTTCAATTTTTTTTTAAAAAACTTCTTAGATTCATCTTGGACCCGAAAAATAAAAACATTTTGACCGAAAAATAAAAACATTTTGACAAAATTTTTTAAAAGAATAATAAAAAAAATAATTAAAAACAAAAAAAAAAAAAAAGTGACTTTTTTAGAGAATAAGCAAAGTTCCCAAACACCCATCTGAATCTATTGGGTAATTTGATGAATATGTGTTGAAAACTGATCTGAAATTTGATTTCAAGGGTTCTTCTATACAAGCAAAAATTTGAAAATGATAACTTGTTAACCAACCTGTAGGTGAGGGTTCAAGAAAAGAGTTAGAAAATTCGAAGATCTTCGAAGATCCTTGAAGAACAACTTCGAATTCTCTAGAATATGATGAGAGGCTTAGATTCTTCAATAATCTCTTAATGAAGCTCCAGAATATGAATTTCAGGATTTCATTTCATATGCAAGTCAAGATTCAATGGAAGCTTCAGTTATCTCAAATTCAAAATTGATATAAAACAATGCCCACAAATCTCAAAGGCCCAAATCAAAAGAAATTCAGATTTCATCAAAGCAAGAGGATCGAGAGTGGGTTTCGATAAAATACTTACAGATCTGAAGGCCACGCCCATGAGAGAGAGTGGCCAAGAACAATACAAACCGAGATCGTGATGAAGTGGCGCCGGAGTGAGCAAACATTGAAGTTGGCGAGCTGAACGGGCGATGGCTAGGATCGCGGTGTTGGCGTATTCGGAGCAAATATAATCAGTGAACAACAGCGCAGCAAAGAACAGTAGCGCAGGTTGAGGCGGCTGCTGCGACACCTAAGGCTGCTGTAAGAGAGAGAGAAAGAGAGATGATTGTTGGCTTGGCGGTTCTTTTTTTTAAAGTAAAAAAATCAACGATCGGTTTCTGTGAATATGTATACTTATATACTATTTTTAAATTATAATAACGTGAGTCATTCATATGTATGTTTACAGTGCTACGCGGTTGTCAAAGAGCGTGGACTTTACTGGGGTCCACCTTCTAGGAGGCGGCTGACTCTTCCGGTGGCCAAGTTTGGGATTGCCGGCTTGAGTCGATGACATCAGCAACCGAACAGTCAAGAATGTTCATCGGAGGTGTTTGTACAGACAACATTTTCTTTTTAAAATTCGCACTTTTTCAACCTGTCAACAACACTATAAATTCACAATTTATTCAGAAAAAAAAATAATAATAATTAAAATTCATTTCAGACATGAATTTCATATTCCATCATTTTAATATCTATATTCAAAGTAAATTATAAATTGATAAAAATTGATTCATAGTGATAATGTAATTTTGTCGGATGAGGAATGGGTCGGATAGGGTCCGGATACTCCACAGGATGATTGAACCTCATCTTCCCAGTTGTACCTGCACCAAGTCCGTCGAGAAGGACCCCAGAGGTAGGGTTCCTTCTTGAGGACCCTCCAATGTTTAAGTTAGAGCAGTCTCTAGTAGAAAAATGGAAGCCTTTAAGCTTAGAGAGGAAGTAGAAGGTAGTTAGAGAGAGAGTGATTACTTGTATATATTGATTTCTTCCATACCTTTCTGGCCTCTTCGCTTACCGTGTCCTGTCAGTCAACCTGTTCTATCAGCCGTAAGTCTATGGTAGTGTTGTCATGCCGTGGACTTTACAGAAAGATGTTGCTTGCCTCTTTTTTTTGTCTGGCCCTTGGACCTAAGTTGAGTTAGGAATTATTTGGACAGCCCATTAGACCAATTATTTGGGCTATGCCCATCACATAGCATTTTTGTTAAACCCCTACATATAGTGAATTTAAGTTGGTTTGGTGAACTTTTTCCCATTAGAAAATAAAAATTTAAAAACACTTCCTTTCTTTTTATTTTGGATAAATTTTGTTTTTAAGAGTATATATTAAAGTTACATCTATCTCATTAAATTATAAGTAGGAAAATATATTCTTAATAATTGAAAAAAAAAATGCACTCAGTACTAATTATAATCATAACTATCAAAATAGGCAGGGCCGGTGGTACGATTTCTTAATTGGGGGGTCAAATTAATATTATAAATGTGGAGTTAAATAATAAATAAATATTCACTAGTTATAATCATTTATGAAGCAACAAAAATTAAAATTCTTTATATATTAACACCATGATATAATAAAAAGTGTGTTACAAAATGACTATATATTGTCTCCTTTACTGTAAAACTAACAAAAAGACACATAATTTCATATCAAAGTTATGCTCGACGATGCTTCAGAGAATAGATATCATCTATAATCATTTATGAGCTAAAATTTTTTGCAATTTCTTTCTCAATGTAAACAACCAAACAATCTGTAAGAAATTAATCTTCCATTTTGTTGCGAAGGCTAGTTTTTACAATATTCATTGCTGAAAATGTCCTTTTGAGTTATAACTTGTATCACATGACTTTTATTTATTTTTTAATTTTTTTTATTCACATATGTTTGTTTGTATCATTGGATGAGGTGGGACCCAATCTTTAAAATGGAAATGAAAGAAGACCAGAGGTGAATATAAACAAGGGGACCACTATCCCATATGTCATAAAATTGTTTTGTAGCAGAACCAGAAATGATGGAGAAAAGGGTAAACTCAATTAGACTTGAATTATGCAGAATTCAAACCAGAAAACATGGAATCAGATCTCAACGAAAAATAGAATCTAGGAGCGTACCCGTTGACCGATTTGTGCATAGCGCTGCCGAGATTGGACAAGCTAGAAGCGATTGATGTGAAGAAAGCCATCTTTTTTTTCTCAAACACACCAAACCCCCAATTGGGTATCCAAGAATCACAGATCTTTATCCAATCAAATGAATCCCCAAATCGCTTGAAAGCCTCGATGAGAGAGAGAGAAAGAGAGATGATTGTTGGCTTGGCGGTTCTTTTTTTTAAAGTAAAAAAATCAACGATCGGTTTCTGTGAATATGTATACTTATATACTATTTTTAAATTATAATAACGTGAGTCATTCATATGTATGTTTACAGTGCTACGCGGTTGTCAAAGAGCGTGGACTTTACTGGGGTCCACCTTCTAGGAGGCGGCTGACTCTTCCGGTGGCCAAGTTTGGGATTGCCGGCTTGAGTCGATGACATCAGCAACCGAACAGTCAAGAATGTTCATCGGAGGTGTTTGTACAGACAACATTTTCTTTTTAAAATTCGCACTTTTTCAACCTGTCAACAACACTATAAGGTCAAGTTTGGCTACTGCAAAAAAAAGTGCACTTATTTCATCTTTTTATCTTTTTTAGGTCACATCAATCAACATCTCCTCTCTACTTTTTCTACACATAATATAAAAAAAGTCAAAAAGTACACTTATTTAGTCTTCCCAAACTAGGCCTAAATTCACAATTTATTCAGAAAAAAAAATAATAATTAAAATTTATTTCAGACATGAATTTCATATTCCATCATTTTAATATCTATATTCAAAGTAAATTATAAATTGATAAAAATAGATTCATAGTGATAATGTAGTTTTGTCGGATGAGGAATGGGTCGGATAGGGTCCGGATACTCCACATGATGATTGAACCTCATCTTCCCAGTTGTACCTGCACCAAGTCCGTCGAGAAGGACCCCAGAGGTGGGGTTCCTTCTTGAGGACCCTCCAATGTTTAAGTTAGAGCAGTCTCTAGTAGAAAAATGGAAGCCTTTAGCTTAGAGAGGAAGTAGAAGGTAGTTAGAGAGAGAGTGATTACTTGTATATATTGATTTCTTCCATACCTTTCTGGCCTCTTCGCTTACCGTGTCCTGTCAGTCGACCTGTTCTATCAGCCGTAAGTCTATGGTAGTGTTGTCATGCCGTGGACTTTACAGAAAGAGGTTGCTTGCCTCTTCTTTTTGTCTGGCCCCTGGGCCTAAGTTGATTTAGGAATTGTTTGAACAGCCCATTAGACCACTTATTTGGGCTATGCCCATCGCATAGCATTTTTGTTAAAATTTAAGTTGGTTTGGTGAACTTTTTCCCATTAATAAATAAAAATTTAAAAACACTTCCTTTCTTTTTATTTTGGATAAATTTTGTTTTTAAGAGTATATATTAAAGTTACATCTATCTCATTAAATTATAAGTAGGAAAATATATTCTTAATAATTGAAAAAAAAAATGCACTCAGTACTAATTATAATCATAACTATCAAAATAGGCAGGGCCGGTGGTACGATTTCTTAATTTGGGAGTCAAATTAATATTATAAATGTGGACTTAAATAATAAATAAATAAATAAATATTCACTAGTTATAATTATTTATGAAGCAACAAAAATTAAAATTCTTATATATTAACACCATGATATAATAAAAAGTGTGTTACAAAATGACTATATCTTGTCTCTTTTACTGTAAAACTAACAAAAAGACACATAATTAAAGTTATGCTCGACGATGCTTCAGAGAATAGATATCATCTATAATCATTTCTGAGCTAAAATTTTCTGCAATTTCTTTCTCAATGTAAACAACCAAACAATCTGTAAGAAATTAATCTTCCATTTTGTTGCGAAGGCTAGTTTTTACAATATTCATTGCTGAAAATGTCCTTTTGAGTTATACCTTGTATCACATGACTTTTATTTATTTTTTAGTTTTTTTTATTCACATATGTTTGTTTGTATCATTGGATGAGGTGGGGCCCAATCTTTAAAATGGAAATGAAAGAAGATCAGAAGTGAATATAAACAAGGGGACCACTATTAAGAGACTATATAAAAAAATATATATTTAACATATATGTATATATATATATATGATTTTTATTGATTTGCAGGGCCTCCGGCACTGAAAATGGGGACCATTTAAAACGGCGACAATTGTTATGAATTAGGAGAGGAAGCAGAGGGATGACAATGAGTTGGGGAATGTGAAGAGCAACGGTGAATGGAGAAATTGAAGAGATAAAATTTAATTTGTTATCTTGTCAAATTTTAATTTTATTTTATTTTTGGTTGGATGGAAGTGGCAGCTGAAAATCTTAGCCAGCAAGGAATTGATTGCTTTCGGACGCCCAAAATGCGCGTTTGCGTGAAGTTGTTTTGCTCCTTTGTTCTGCGAAAAACAGCGCAGAAAATTCTGTTCCCAACCGTGCAGATTCTGTATTAATAAAGTCTAAAGATTAAGCACCCAGCTGTACAACAAAGTGCTTATCGCACGTACCTCTGTTTAGGAAATAAGTTGATTTTTTTATTTTTTTTGATTTTTTTAGTTATTTTAATTTGGGTTAAAAAGTTTGATTTGAGAAGAAATTTTTGATTTTTTTTAATTTTTTTGTGAGAAAATAGTGTAATAATTATGGATTGAATATGATATTTTATTTGTTGTGACTAAAATAATCTATTTTATCTTTTGTGACTATTTTAACCACAAACCAACTCGCCAAATAACACCATTGCCATGTGTTTCATTCCACGTTTCCTTGCGTTTCCATCTCCGATTATCTCTCAAACAAATACTAAGGAGTTGTTTGGGATGACTTAAATAAGTATATTTTTTGTCTTTTTACGAAAAGATGTGTAGAAAAGTAGAGAGATGATGTGATAAAAAAAAGATAAAAAGTGTGTACTTATTTAGGATAGCCAAACTTGGCCTAAATTTGGCATTTTCAAAAAAAATTAAAACGTTAAAAAGTTACTATCCTATTTAAATAACATCACTGTCACATCATTTTAAATTTAATTCATATTTCATAAAAAGTCAAAAAATACACTTATTTAAAACATCCAAAACAACCCCTAAATATAAGTTTCAAATTAAATACACTAATTATTTTTGAAATATGCATTTCGATATGACCTTAAATTTTAATCTTAACAATTTTACTTATAAAATTTTAACCCAGGTTAAATTTATTCAAAACCCATAATGATATATAAAATTCACCCATAGTTTCTTGTAATGGCTAAAATAGCTAATAAAGATAAAATAAATTAAAGTAGTCAATAAGATAAAATATCATTTTTAAATTATAATTATTAAATTTTATCTCCTTTTAGTTTACATCACCTCTCACATAAAAAAGCTAAAAAAGTAAAAAAAAAAAAAAAACTAATTTTTAACCATCTTTTCAAACCACTCCCAAATCAATTAAAAAAAAAAAAGTCAACTATTTTCCAAAACAAAACTTTTTTAATCATGTTAAAATAATGGGAGAATTACGCTAATGGTCCGTATAGTTTAAGTCTTGTGTCATTTTGGTTCTTAACTTTTTAATATTTGACCATAAATTTTAAATATTGTTTCAAATAAGGACAATTGAAGATATTATTGCTCAATTTCAAGAGTAAAATCGTCAATTTAATAAAATATAAACTAACCTGACAAAAATAAATATCAAAAAAATTATTTTTAAATTTTTAAAAATTATTTGTACCCACTAAAAATAAAATTATGTAAAATAAATTAATTTTTTAGACATTTATTTATTTTTTACCAAATTAATTTTTATTATGTGTTTGGATGTTGATCATGTAATGTGTGTTTGTTTTTATTTTCATTAAATTAGTTTCTATTTTTTCAAAAGTCAAATATGGCTATAACTTTGATATCATTATTAAACCAATCTATTAAATCAAAAAATCAAAAATTAAAAATATTTCATATATTAAATATATTGATTACATATTAAAAACTTAATAACCACCCATTACATGATTATTATCCAAACACATAGTAATAAAAATTAATTTGGTAAAATAAATAAATAAATAAATATCTAAAAGATTTATCAATTTTATATAATTTTATCTTTAGGGTGTAGAAATTATTTTTAAAAATTTTAAAATATTTTTTTGACATTTTTTTGTCAAATTCGTTCATAGTTTATCAAATTGACGACTTTGCCCTTGAAATTGAGCAATGGTATCTTCAATTGTCCTTATTTGGAACAAGATTCAAAATTTAAGGTCAAATATGTTACAATTAAAAAGTCAGGGACCAAAATGACACGAGTCTCAAACTATAGGGACTGTTAGTATAATTTGTCCTAAAATAATCAAGAGTTAACTAAAATAGCCAAATTCCTGAACCAACCCAATATTAAAAAAAAATATTATTATTTTGTTGGTAAAATAAAAATTTTAAACCCAAGCAATAATTATTAACATTTTTTTTTGAATTAATTGCTAAATAATTATGAGATTAGGAGTGAAATTGAAGAAATGACGGAGAGTAATTCAAGAACATAAAAAATCCACTTCTTGTTAAAAAAATTTAAAATTAAAACACCAATTAAGATACTGATTTTATAATAATATAGGGAAAATTTTATTTTTACACACCAATTTAATTCAGAGTATACACTTAATGAAATATTAATTTAATGAAATTATATCTTAATTAAAAAAGACCATAATAGTGTGGCATCTCAAATTTTTGGAACATCAAGAGAAATTAAATAAACAAAATGATTAATAAACCAAAAAGTTGATATCTTAATAGGGCAATCCAACTCTCGTACATAACCAAATGTTCAAACAACAATAGATAAAAACTTAAAATTATTCAAATACAACATCAAATAAAATTATAAAGTCCTTAATAGCTATTATATAAAATAATATAATTTATTCGGCTCTAATCGGGGTTCCAAGTCAACCAAGGCTCTACGTTAGCGTCAACTCCATTTCAGCTTCAATTATTTTCTCGCCAAAATCTGGTGTAAAACGCTAGGGCAACAAAAATATATGCCATGAGTTTTGCAACACAATAAGAAAACATAATCAACCTACTATTCTTTTTAAGAGAAAAATACTAATATTATAAACATAAGATAACAATATATTTGTAAACATAAATTACAACCAGTAAAATAATTTCAATAATTTTAATAAATCATGTGACACTCGAAATCTCACCAAAGAGATTTAACTTACCAACCACTAAGCATGGCAACGGTTAATTTGAAACTCTCCCTTAGTCAAATATTCAAGTGTTACCAACCGTAACTACGAGGGATGCCCACGTCCGAAGTTATATACACAAGTAGT